TTTATGCCTTTGTTAGGTTTTTTCACATAAATACATTAACCAACTGGGAAAAAAATTCTTCCATCAGGTCATTTCTTACAGATATGTGAGTAGGTGGAAGAGGAGGCTGGCCAGGGAGGAGTCCAAGTGCTGGGCTGTCCGTGGTTCAGCCAGCAGTAGGGGCAAGAGGGGGTCTAGATCGGGGGACGGGGGTGGAAGAGTGAGGGGCAGGACCGTGGGGGTTAAACCACTCCCAGTAGTTCGGGCCTGTTCCCTGGGAGGTCGTCTGTATAACTCTGAAGCTCTCGTGTTCATTTTTCATCATTCCTCTTTGCTTGGTAGCCTGGCACAGCCTTTCCCTCCTGATGTATCGGTGGTGACAGTAGCAATAGCAGCGTGAGCAGTAACAGTCACCACTTGGTGTTGTTACAACCATGGCGCAGTCACACCCCTGCTCTAATGTCACTTTCCCCAAGGCTTTCGCTGACCCCCGTAGCATCTCCCACCCTGGGTGTCTCTCGCCTCTTGTCTGCTTTCTTGTTTTGATGGTGTTCACTGTGAGCTGACGTCATATCTCATATCTCATTTAGTTATTTTCTGCATGTTTACCTTATCAGAACCAAGTGTCATGAGCACAGAGAGTTTACCTGTCTTGATCAGTCATTGCCGGGACCTGGTACTGCTCTAAGCACCTCGTTGGACTCTCATTTCACTGAGGCCAGAGTATGTGTGGGCTGCACTGTGCCGACCCTTTGAAATCTGCTGAAACTTGGCTGTTTGAATTTGTTCATGTTCAGTTTTTGAAAGCATTCCATGTGTGCCTAAAAGAGCATGCATTTTTATGCAATATTTAAGTTTATGTGCATTAGCCCATGTTAATTATATTTTTCAAATCTATAATTGTGTTTCCAAAATCCATGTACTTATTTTTTTTTTGTTTACTGAATCTATCAATTACTGAGAGAGATGTTAAATTTCCCACCATGATTATGGATTTGTAAATTTTTCCTTTCATTTCTATTTATATTAATTTTTGCTATATATTGAAGCCTATATCATAAGTTGCACAAAACTACAGAATGTTTAAATCTTTCCAGTAAATTACTGATTTATTCATTTATGTAGCAAAACTGTTTTGGCAGGGGGCAGGTAATTAGGTTTACTTATTTATTTTTTAATGGCAGTACTGGGGATTGAACCTAGGACCTCACACATGCTAGGCACACCCCTTACCACTGAATTACACCCTCCCCTGCAGTAAAACTCTATTCTTAATGTACCTAATTTTCTTTTTTGCCAGCTTTCTCTTCCCTGGAATATTTTTTCTATCCTCTTACTTTCAACCTTTCTATGTCCTATTATTTTACACATGTTCCTTGTAACATTTTTGAAAATAATAGTTCAGTCCTGTTTCTCTGTGTTTTAATTGATGATGTTAGTCCTTTGTAATTAACAACATACAGAATGTACTCCTACCATTTTATTTTCTTCCACTTCTACTTTCTTTGGACTGGTCATGCTTTTGTTATGTCCCTTTTCTTCTGCTAGTTTGAAAATTACACATCTTATTCGTATTATTTGAGTGTTTACCCTTCAATTATTAAATGCATACTTGAATAAATGAAGTTCGAAGCAATCAATATATCCACCCTTTTCTTGAACATTACGAAGACTTTAACTCCAATTACGTTCTTCTTTTCCTTTATATTATTGCTGTTCAGGATTACGGCTCTGTTTTCTCTTGATCCTCCACTAACTAGTGATTCCATTATCATTAGTACTGGTCTCTGAGCCAACAGTGTTTAGATTTCCTCACATTCATCAATTCTCCATTCACGCTCCCTCTGCTGCCCGAGACCTTCCTTCTGTGGGCATTTCTTTCTCCCCAAAATAAACCCTTAAGTCTTATGGACGGTAAACATCATCACGTTTTTGTTTGTTTGCTTGAAAATGTCTTTATTTTTCACTTGTTCTTTCATACTTTTCAATCTAGCTATTATTTCAGCTAAATATTTTATATTTACCTAATTTAAGCTGTTGTTTATTAGACATAAAATCCCAGGTTAACACATAATTCTGACACTTTGAAAATATTATTCCTTGTTCTTCTGGATACTTTTACTGGTGTTGAGAAGTCACTTTCCATCGATTGTCATTCTTATTAAGGTGATCTCTTTTCTTTTAGCTAGCTCTCAGTATATTCTTTGTCACGGGTGTTCTCCAGTATTTGAGGGTTTTATTTGGTTCTGGATTTCCCTCTTTCTTTTCTTTTTATTCTGCTTGAGATCTGTTTTGTATCCAAACTTGTGAATTCATGTCTTTCTAAATTCTGAAAATTTCCATTTCTCTTATCTCTGTGAATTTTTCCTCTTCTTGCTTCTTCCTTTGAGAGTGTCCGTTAGATGTATGTTGGATTTTCACGTCTCATCTTCACTCTGTGAACTCTTTCTGTAACCTAGAAAGGGATCTGTTTACACATATGTTACAACTTTTAACCATATTTAAGATATCTCTTACACTCTTTGCTATGTTTTTCACCGTTTTATCATGTGTGTACCTCAACCTGAATATTTTTCACTAACTGTTATTCCAGTTTCTAAATCTTCCCTTCTACCGTGTCTTATCTGCTTTCAAACATACCTACTGAATTCTTAATTTTAGTCATTTGTTTCAATTCTAGAATTCCTATTAAATTATCTTTAAAATTGTTTATAGAATCTAGTTGTCTCATTGTGTAATTTATTTCCTTGAACATATTAATCACAGTTACTTTTAAATCCTTGTCTAGTAATTCCAGCTGGTGGCTCACATATGAATTTGTCTCTATATCTTTTTTTCCTTTGGTTTTTATTCATTTGGTCTTATCTGTTGGTAAGCCTGGTAGTTTCTGAGTGAATGTTGCACAATGCATGTAAAATGGTGTGGATGCTGGGTGATACTATCTTCCTCTGGAGAAGATTTGATTTTTTTTTTTTTCCTGACTGGTAGTTGCAGTAGGTGCAGGTCACCTTGATCCAGTCAGGAGCTGAAAGAGTTTAAGGCTAGTTCAGTCTTTGGGAGGGTTTTCCAGTTTGCCTTTAATTTTTATTCATCCTTCAGGGTTTCCAGCTGAAGGCTTTAGTTATTTACCAAGACTCCTCTCCAGCTTTGTGAGTCTACTGAAAGCTCTGTTTAGTTTTTTAGCTTTGTAACAGCTGCTTTTTCCTTAATGTCTTGCCCCAGAGCAGTTTAGGATTCAGCAGATGCCTCAAAGATAAAATCTATTCAGAATGTCAGACTTCTCTTTTGTTCCCTTTTCTCTGGGAAATTTGCCCCTCAAGTCCTGGCTGCCTTTGTAGCCCAGAACTAGTTTTTGTCCTCCAAGCTCAGTGAAAATGGTCTCATGTCTAGGCCACAGCTCATGCTTCTTCCAAGTGCCAGAGAGATAACACAGTGGGAGACGTCAGGCTCACCTCAGTGCATCCCCTTCTCCCCAGGTCTGCCCCCCAAGTGCTCACTGCCTTCATTTGGCTTGACTGGCCTCTGACAGCATCAAAGAGCTATTTAAAATTTTTTTACCCAGATTTTATATTGTTTAAATTTTTCAGTGTTCTCTGTGCAGCTGTGGATGGTGGGAGATTTAGTGTGATAACAGCTTACTCCATCATAGTTGGAAGCTGAGGTCTTAATTTGGAGGGTTTTGTTTATTCCAATAATCACGTTTTCCCCCTAGATATTCTATTTGGTTGTTTCTCATATCAGCATCATCTCTCTTTTTTTTTTTTGAGAGTATTCTGTTTCTATCTTACGTTTTCTATTCTCCATTATTTTAATCATTTGAAATATACTTATTTTTAGTTTTTATCCTATTAGATTATCTGACATTCCCACAGGCTTAATTTTATTATATATTATCTGCTGACTTTTATTTTGCATTTGCTTCTGCCAGATTCCCCAAGAGGATATTAAACAGCTGAGAGCCAATTTTTATGTTAATTTCCTTGTTTAGGCTTTCTTAAACTGTGCAGCTATTGCATATTTGAATTTCAAATGTGAGTGGGCAGAGAGATTTGGTTACAAAATATGAAGGGAGTTTTTTTTTTTCCCCACTCAGAGTTCAGATAAGCTTTATTTTCATTTTGTTTACTTGTGAGTGAATGTTTCTTAGGTCATATTTTCACTTAAGAAGTGGACCATATAAAGAATTCTGACCTTATGTAGTGATACTAGTTCCCACTTTCCACGTTTCAGGGACTCAAGGTCTTGGCTCTTATGGATTCTGAGCTCCTTAGAGCTGCTGAGAAATCAGCACCTACTGCTCCCTCTGATTTTCAGTTTGCTTTTTGTATAACCTCCAGGCATTTGTCTCATTTTCTTGTGGGCTCAGCTGTATATATGTGAAGATACTCATATACTTTATTCAGTATTTTTAGTTTTTTTCTTTTTTAGGCAGAGATTTTCAAGTTGTCTTGTTCTTCATAATTTCAGAAATGCAAGTCTTAACTGACATAATTTACATTGCTGGTTTATAGTAAGAATTAATGTTATAATTAATTAATAATAAATTTTGCCCATAAATAAATACCATCATCAACATAATTTCCACATGTATATAAAGCCTGAACAACTGGATTATAATATACATACTATGTCCTAGATTATATATAGTCTGTAGTAGATGATAAAGCTCTGTAATAATTGCTCTGTGACCTGGGTGTATGGGCACTGCATACAGTACTATGTATGTCACGCTACAGAAACACAGTAGAGTCTGTCCTATTGAAATAGTTGGAAGTACATCATGCTTCTCCCAACAACACATTCCCCTCCTCTTAAAGCCTTTGGTTTGAAACTCCTGTTTTCTCAGGGAAATTAGAAAATGTGGTGGTGTCTTTGAAGGTTTTAAACATTGGAAGATGTATCTCTAGGATTATATGTTTACATGTGAATCACTTCACCATCACTCATATGTATTATTTATATTTGGGTTTTAAATTTTTATATTTTGCATGAAATTTTGTATTCTTTTTTGCCTTTTGTAGGAGGATACTCCATCGAGACTTGAAATCAAAGAATATATTTCTGAAAAATAATCTACTTAAAATTGGTAAGATTTTTAAATATGTATTCCTTGGGAGAATATACTCTAGATGTTATTAATGTATCAAATTAAAGTATCTAAAAGTGTTAGAATAATCATTGGTTTATTAAAACTTCTTAAATTTTTGTTCTTACTTGGTTGTTTCTGATTATCTGATGTAAATTGAGATATGAAACATTTGCTCTATACTTGGTAGATTCAGCAAATATTTTTTGAGTTTCTATTCCATGCCAGACACTAACTACTAACAAGTGGTTAGACATTGTTTTACTAGTTCAATTACTACAGGTGCCCACCCTACCCATTGATTTTATCACAAGCAATTAGCAGTTATCACAGATAATTAAAATGTTGATAGTTAGTTGTCCTTCAGAACTGTACCTCCACCCGTGATAGTTACTGGATTGTTTGTCTTCATGTAATATGTTCTCAGAGGGGAAGGCATAAAAGCATGCAACTAATTAGGCAACTGTACGGAAGCTGATAGTGTCAAAATTTTATAGTCATGTTCTTGAAAAGTCTCAGGTTTCTTATTTAAAATTTCTTCTTTATTGTAAATGAAGAGCAACTCCCCCACCACCAGATAAAATTGCAAATCATTGTATTCAGTGCTACCAGAATCCTTCTGTTTGTTGTTATTCAGACTTGAAATAGCTTTTTGTTTCAAGTTACTGGTTTTCCGTAATTCCAGAAATAAAAAGTTTTAGCTTACATAATTCACTTTCCTGGCTCTAAAGTCTTCTTTCTCCTGTAAGGCTTATATTTTTAAAGCTATTCACCAGTATTGTGTAATTTAAAATGTGTAACTTTTCTTCCCTTTTAAAATGGTATGAATCATTGCATATTAAAATTGTCAAATTAGACACTCAGTTGTTAATTTCCAGTGCTGATTTATATTTCAAAGTATTCACAAAAATTAATTACTATTTCAAGGGGATTTTGGAGTTTCCCGACTCCTAGTGGGCTCCTGCGATCTCGCCACCACTTTAGCTGGAACTCCCCATTATATGAGTCCAGAGGCTCTGAAACACCAGGGCTACGACACAAAGTCTGACATCTGGTGAGTGGGCCTGGGCCGGTCTGGGTGATGTACGTATCTGCTGCCCTGAGAAAACAGTGCATTTTGTTTTGAGGCTCTTCTACTTACTACATCTACTCACTTTATTGCTTTCAGTATGAGTTATTCTGTGGTCAGTATGAAAGAAGGTCTTTCGGATTTAGAACTTGATATATTCCATTAAACTAATTTCAGAAATTCTCTTTATTCATAGATTAACTGGTTGGTTTGAACTTTTTCTTCTTGAACCACAAGGGAAAGTACTTAATGTATCATAAACATTAAATTTTGGTATGTTTCTGCTAGCCTATTACATAAAGCATTTATAATTCTAAACACTGTGCTTTATTTCATTTTATGGTTAACTTCCACCTCTGAAGTTTTCCTTTATATTTTTGTCTTCTTGTTGCTTTTAAGAATTTTTACTAAAGATATTAGCCTTAAGGATAAATGTTTAAAATTCTGGGTTTTCAGTGATAGAGGCATCTGAGATTTCTCAGCTTCTCTGAGCTCTGTCCCAAAGGAATTTCTTCTTCATCATCATGGAACCAGTTTAAATCTCAGTGCAAAAGCCTTGTGGAAAATTGTATTCTGTTGTTAGCACTAGATCCTATTTGGGGACAATTTCCTTTCCTTTGAAGAGGAATCTTATGTAATTTTCAACTTGTTAAGGGTTGAAAGGACAATTTAGCTGAGAGCTCGTTAATTAAGTAAATAATTATTGTATGCAAATCAACTTAAGTAGTTCTGAGCTTTCAAAGATGAGCGTCTGAAAGATTGTGCCCACTTGGCTCTTCAAAAGAGGCTCAAGTGGAAAGTTACCTTGTCTCGGGTTAGGGGAAATAAGCAGAACAGGGCTGGTGCCCTGTGATTTCACAGAAGTCGTCACTCCTGTTCTTGTCCTGGTCCCGCCCTGGGAGAGAGCGCTGTCAGGACTGGGGCTGGCTGGGGCGCCTCTTGTCCATCCTGTCCCTTCAGTTCACTCTTCATTCTCCAGAGGCTTTTTCACTGTTAACTAGTTTCCATCCTCGTGGTCTCGTGCACTTCGCCTCTCATCTGTCCTCTATCACAGCCGTCCTGAGTCCCTCCAAAAACATAAACAAAACCAGACAAAAGCCACAAAGGTATGTCCAGATGAATGTTGCTGTAAATTTTCTTCATTGACCATCTATGGTTTGCCTGTGACTGTGGAACAGCCCTTAGGGTGTAAAATCCAAACTGACAGGATTCCTGCCCCTCAGGGGAAACCTTCTTGCTCTTTTTGGGGTAACTTTCTCCAGGTAGGGAAAATCAGTCTTGAGCTTTGGATTGAATTTGAGTTACATACCTGTATCTCTCTTCACACTTTTTGTTGTTATTAGGGACATTTAAAAATAGATTTAAACATAAAATTTCATGATTAAGGTTATATGGTATCTCAGGAAGATGTTACATCATGTCACTTGAATTAAGAGTAAATTAATTTGTGAAGTTTATCATTTAAGTCTTTGGAATTACATACAGCAAGAAAGCTGGCTTCTTTTGACAGGTAGCTACATCTGCTTGCCAAATCAGTTGGCTGTCTCCCAGAACACGGAGGCAGCAGAACCCACAGAGTGGGGAGGAAGCATAGACTCCTTCACCTCAGCTGTGTCTGGCTTACCTCTTTTTGAAAAAACTGCTCTTAGTATTGCATAAAGAATCATAGGCGTATCAGACAGTATCACTATAACGTTTTAGGCTTACAAAAATGATATCTGATGCAGGCAAAACTTGAAAAAGTTAACACCTCCAAAATATAAAAATGTGGGAGAATTTTAGTGTGTTTTTGCAAGCATTAGGTCAGCTCTCCTTGCAGAGGTTACTAACTATTCAGCGAGTACAAGCTAAGGATTTATCATCATCCTGACCCCAAATAACTACTTTTTTTTATGAATTTAGTAATTACCTTGGTTATATCTGAATTAAAACAGGCTTATCTGGTAGTGAAATTTCTATTGCTGAACCTAACGTGGAAAAAATAACAGAGAACTATAAATTATAGTGACAGATATATAGGTGTGATGAGTAAGCTTTGGGAGACACTCTTAGAGAATTTAGCTTGAATGGAGTTGAGAACCTTTCCTCTGAATCTCATCTGCTTACTGTGGAATATTTTTGTAGGACTGGAAACACTTCTGAATAATTGACAGATGTTTTGCTTTAGCATTAATAACTGTACATATTTATTTATAATGCTCAAAGAAGAAGAACTGGCATGATACTAATTCTATTTTCATCTGTTACTGGTTGCCCATATGTAACCTTATCCTCCTGCAATCTGCTTAAACCTTTTGGGATTCATTTATTTATAGCAATCAAGTACAGGAAGTCCCTTTCTTAAAAGTGAGTTAGATTCTAAAAGTTTATAATTAGTTTTTTTGGAAAGATAAGATAATTAGGTTCACTGAGGACAATACTTTGAACACTGCTGATTTGTATAAGGAATTACTGAAACTTTTTTCCCCCACAGGAAAGATATATGAATTGAGTTCCTAGGCCAGCTCTTAAATTGATTTATTGAAGTTCAATAGTTAGAATTTATTATTTTCGTCGGACAAAGAAAGGACAATACTACTGGAACAGTGGTGCTATAATTAAACAGAAAGGAAGCAGACTGTTCCACTGCTGGCTTTATTTGTCTTATTGTGAGAGGTCAACCAGACGGCCCTACGTTCTTTGGCTGACTTAAGTGGAGGCAATGGTGTGGGAACGGTATGGGTGTCAGAGTGTACTGTGAAGCTCTCTGGGTTTTGCTCAGGGACCTGATATGGCAGTTGGCTGGACAGGGGAAACTGGAGGAGCCTAGTTCACACCCAGCATTGGAGTCAGGCTGTAGTGAGCTTGGACGGAAATGTAAGATGAGGCTTAGCCACAGAGAGATGACAGGGAGGACCCAGCACCTCACAGAGGAGCATTCCCAGGGTGGACAGGGGAAGAGGGTGGGGAGGGAAGCAAGCCTGTCTTCCGGTGAAGGATTTAGGAAGGGAAGAAATATAGGCCAGCCTGGCAGTGGTTCCTGTGCTGATGGGGGGCCTGCAACTGGCTGGCAGCCAGCAGCCCCGTCAGCTGCTCTCGTGAAGAAGCTCTGGGGCAAGGGAGCCCGTTCCGCTCACCTGCGCAGGGTCTGGGTGGTTCTGAGCGGATTCAGAAGCAAGTGTTGGACAGCTTCAGCTTCCTGGGGGTGAGCACAGGTGTCACTGTTTTCACTCGGCAGAAGCCGAGGGTGGAAAAGCTTTCAGCTGAGGGTGGAAAACCTGCAGTCAGTTGGAATATTAATACATTTTTTCAGTGATGAGCATGAAGTGACTGCTACAAACCCTGTGGAGAACATCGGTCTGGCGTGGCAGATTTTAGAAATGGCGCGATGCAGCAGCAGCAGCAGAACCAGGAGGAGCTACCTCTGCAGGGCGCTCACTCTGTGCTAGACAGCCAATGTGCTAAGTGCCTTATATACCCTTCTAGGTGTATTTGTTATGGCAAAGATAATAAGACTATAAAGAAGTTTACAACCTGCTTTTTTTTTCCACTTAGCAAAAGAGAGCATTGCTCTGTATCAACACAGTATATCTACATCTCATCTAAATGTTTGCACAATATTCTGTACCTGGACACAGTCATTTATTCAACCAAGACCTTAATGTTTTCTCTGAAGACTTTCTCTTTGTCTTTGTCTTTCAGCATTTTTACCATGATGCATCTAGGTGTGGATTTGCATTTATCCTACTTGGATTTAGTTGAGATTTTTGGACATGTAAATTAACATCTTTCATCAAACTTGATCAAATTTGGAAAGTTTTTCAGCCCTTCTTTTTTTGAGTGTTTTTTTCTCCCCCTTCTCTCTATCTCATCTTTCTGGCCTTCCCATTATGTGTATATTGGTGTGCTACCTGGTTTCCCACATGCTCTGAGGCAATAATCATTTGTTTTCATTTTTCTCTCTGTTCTTCAGATTGCATAATCTCTGACAGTCTGTCTTCAAGTTCACTGATTCTTTCCTCTGGTGGTTAAAATCTACTGTTGAGCCCCTCTGGGGAATTTTTTGTTTTAGTTACTGTTCTTTTCAGCTCCAGAATTTCTATTTGGTGTTTGTTTTTTTTTTAATATATATAATTTCTATCTGTTTACTGATATTCTCCAATTGATGTGACATTTTATCATACTTTACTTCTTTAAACATGGTTCCCTTTAGTTCATTGAATCTATTTATAATGGCTGCTTAGATGTCTGTATCTGTTGAATCTGACTTCTGGGCTCTCTTGGACAGTTTCTGTTGCCTGTTTCCTTTTCCTGTATATGAATTGTTCTTTCCTATTTCTTTGCATGTCACTAAATTGGTGAAAACTGGACATTTTAGTGATATATTGTAGTAACTCTGGACACTTACTCTCCTCACCTCTCTGGGGCTTGTTGTTTGCTTGTTTTTTCATTTGGTGAGTAAACCCCTTTAATTTGGGTAAGACTGTGATTATGGCAAAATTGATACTATGTAACTTCTGAGTCTAGGTCATAAAAGGTGACACAGCTTCTGTCTGAGTGTCTTGAGATCCATGCTCTTGGACTCCAGCTACTATGTGGTAAGGAAGCCTGTGAAGCACATTGGGAGGCCAGTGTGGAAGGAGCCATGACCTCTGGTCTTTAGCCCTGACTGGGCTTCCAGACGATGCCAACACCAGTCAGCCAGCTTGGAAACGGATCTTCCAGTCTCAGCTGAGCTCGCCCAGCAGGTGCCGTGGGGAGCAGATTCAAGCCTTCCCTGTCAGTTTCTGAAACCATAGATTCATTAGCAAAATTCCTGATTATTGTTGTCTCAAGGCACTAAGTTTTAAGGGGTTTTCTTATGCAGCAGTGGTGACCAGAATGGGGCTTTATCAGGAGGACAGCAAGCAGGAGTTGAGACACAGCCTCTAGTCTGGGTGTCCATTATGACCAGCTGGCACTGTTCATTTTTTCTATTTTAAAAAGTTCAAAGAATGGCTTAAGAG